TTCTGCTCTCTCTCTGTCAAATAAATAAGATCTTTCAAAAAAAAATTTTTAAAGGGCACCTGGATGGCTCAGATGGTTAAGCATCTCCCTTTGGCTCAGGTCGTGATCTCTGGGTCCTGGGATGGAGCCCCACTTCTGGCTCCCAGCTCAGCGGGGAATCTGCTTCTCCCTCTCCCTCTGCTTTGCTCTCTCTGCCTCTCTCTCTCCCTTTCAAATGAATAAATATAAATCTTTTTAAAAGTTAAAAAAAATACATAAGGGAAATGACTAACTGGAAACAGCAACTTCACGCCATCCTTACACATTTCCCTGTATCCCATGCCCACTGAAGAGAATTAAAGGCAGCTTCACATTTCAATGGTTTTTCATTCTCTCTTTCTCTCTCTTTCTCATACTTTTTAAGTGATGTTTGCTTTAGGGACGCCTGGGTGGCTCAGTCGGTTGGGTGTCTGCCTTGGGCTTGGGTCATGGTCCCAGAGTCCTGGGATCAAGTCCCCCATTGGGCTCCCTGCTCAGTGGGGAGCCTGCTTCTCCCTCTGCCTCTGCCCCTCCCCCTTCTTGTGCTCTCTCTCTCTCTGACAAATAAATAAAATCTTTAAAAAAGTGATGTTTGCTTTAATTTGAATAAGCTAAATAAACATATGTCTCAACTAAATTATCATAATTTGAGGTTTCAAGTGACTTAGTGAAAATCACCAGGCAGCAAACCCCAATCAATCTGATTTCTATCACATCTTCCTTTAATTATATGATATCACATCTTCCCATTAACCAGATAGAATAACTGAGGTGATCTTTGCAAGCTCAAAATTAGGTGTTTGCCTGATCAGATCCAATCTAGGCAGACAGTGACTTCTCCTAGTGAAATCTTATTGCAGATCTAGAAAAATGTTAAAATTAGTCCACCTAGACTAGAGCTCAGCAAAGACATAAGGCACATGTCCTTGTTCTTGTGAAAGTGCTATCATATCTTTAATGACTATTGTCGAGACCTCTCATCCACAAGACTGAAAAATACCCTGAAAGTGAAAAAGTGATTTACCAAGTGGCACTACAGAGTAAATTGTTTCACATTTGTTAACTTGTGAGAACACAAAAATGATACCTCACTCAAACAGATGAAAGGGACAGTGGTGTCAGCAACTTCATTTTTAAATATGAAATGTGACAAATATTGGTATATGATATCAAAGAAAAAATAAAGGTGAAAATATGACTGCTATAAAATCAGCAAAACTGTAAAGTGATAATAGCCACCATTTTTAGGCACTCCAAATACATTATCATAATAAATCTTCATATTATGATCCCCATTTTATAGATAAGAAAACTGAGATTCAGACAGACTAAATAACTCTGATGAAAATTATATTTAGGAAGCAGCAGAGCCAGGACTTGACTCGGGACTATTAGATCCATAGCTCATACCCTTTCCAGAATATCATTCTGCACCTCAAATAATAAACCCTCCTTAGCAAGGGAATGGATTTTGAAAATACAGTATAGCTATCTCATACAGAGTAAGTTTTTAGCTCTCAAAATTTAATAAAGTGTTTCCTCACACTTCATCTCATCTATGTAAGAATATTTAAAAGTAATAAATGTAATCCATTAAGTATGTATATTGAATATACTGTACTAGAATGATGGCTCCCAAAGTAGAGGGTGCATTCACTCTCAGTATCCTATGGAGGGGGCCTTCAATTTATTCATGGGGTCCCATGGATGGTGGTGGTAGAGAGGGGTGATTTAGTCTCTTACCCTAAACTACAATATACACTATCAATATCAATAAAGGAGTCATTAAACTGCTGGAGGTTTGAATGACAGATGTCTTGGAAAAAAAGATACCTTAAGCCAAGACAAAAGTGAAATTAAGGTTTAAAAAAATCTCTAAATTTTTAAACAGTACTCAAAAAGATCTGTTGGCTAAAAATCTGAAATGATAGTTATAATACTATACTCCTCTCTTTCTCTCAGCTAAGTTTTCAATAGTAATTTTTACATGAGCGAATATAGAGTCCACCAGATACTTCCAAGTTCAATGTCAGGACTAGGACTAGGAATTAGTCTTGTCTTTTAACCCAATCTATTAATACTTGCACTTGATTCCCTCTAGCAACAAGAGCAACTTTATCATAAAGTCATAATTCCTGATGTATGTGGAAAGGTGATGCTGTTGAAGTACCATCAATAAAGCAGATGTTTCTCAGTGGTTGTGATTAATTTGTGCTGATCTTGATACCACCTTGCTCTTGTAACCAACATTTACATTTGCAAGATGGTAGAATTTGAGAGATGGCTTACTGGTATAATCTGTAACAATGGCAGAGGAAGAAGCTAACTGGGCTATATAACGACTAAATCAACAGGGACCACACAAACTAGATATAAATTTGCAAAAAAAATTGCATTAAGTGTATAAAACTAAAGAGCATGTTATCGGGGCGCCTGGGTGGCTCAGTCGTTAAGCGTCTGCCTTCGGCCCGGGTCATGATCCCGGGGTCCTGGAATCGAGCCCCATATCGGGCTTCCTGCTCCACAGGAAGCCTGCTTCTCCCTCTCACACTCCCCCTGCTTGTGTTCCCTCTCTCGCTGTGTCTCTCTCTGTCAAATAAATAAATAAAATCTTTAAAAAAAATCTTAAAAAAATTTTTTTTTAATTTAAAGAGCATGTTATCTTGATCCCAGCTGGAGGGCAATAGCCAAATAATCTAGGATTTTCCTTCCTTCTTCTTTATATTATATAGTAGAATCCACATGAATATTTTTCAGAGAAGATATCTAGTTTCATATGGTGAAGGTTGGGATGAATGACAGCTTAAGAGATAACCATTATGCCAATGGTTACAGCAATGAAAGAGAAATTAAATGATTTGTTTAATTTTTTTAAAATGCTTTTTTTTTCTGGTTAAAATAAAGAACATGAAATTCTAAAATCATCCCACAAGACATTTATCACCAGTATTGTCTAAACCCAATCTTAGGAGAGGTGATAACTAAAGGCTCTCCAAGTGGGTCTCAGAACAAGGCTTCTGGACAGTCCTGGAACACGTATACTGAATACAGAATGCTGACGCTTTCTCAAAGCTTTAGCTTTTGCTCAATTTTCCCCACAAACAGTAGTTTTAATGTAAAAGCCAAACCACAGTGAATGATGTTTCTAGATTAAAAAAAAAAAAACCCAACACATGATAATATGATCATTTTATGGGACGTCTGGGTGGCTCAGTCAGTTAAACATCTGCCTTCGGCTCAGGTCATGATCCCAGGGTCCTGGGATTGAGCCCCACATGGAGGTCCTTGCTCAGAGGGAGCCTCCTTCTCCCTCTCCCTCTGTCTGCCCCTCCCCCTGCTTGTGCACATTCTCTCTCTAACAAATAAATAAATAAAATCTTAAAAAAATACATATGACCATCTTACATGGTCATCTTTAATATTAAAATCTAAGCAAACGACTCTCAAATCCTCTACATTTTACTAAAGAAATAAACAAGTTCTATAAAAGAAAGTGTAGCAAATAAAGATGTCCCTAAGAGCAATGAATGTTTGGTAAGGTTTGAGTCCTCTTCCACGGGAAGAATTGAAGCAGAGGCTCGCTGAAAACTGAAGTACTCTAGAGGGGGTTTCCCCATTAGTTTGGAGGTAGAACTGTCTTATGGTATTTCAGGGAGGAGAAGGCAGAGAAAACATTCCAGAAAATCAAACTATATTATGAACCTGACATGTCTTATACCTTTTAGACATCTAATAAATATTTTAAAAATTCCTTCATTTAAAATATTTAACATGGGGGCACCTGGGTGGCTCAGTTGGTTAGGCGACTGCCTTCTGCTCAGGTCATGATCCTGGGGTCCTGGGATCGAGCCCCTCATTGGGCTCCCTGCTGAGCAGGAAGCCTGCTTCCTCCTCTCCCACTCCCCCTGCTTGTGTTCCCTCTCACGCTGTCTCTCTCTCTCTCTGTCAATTAAATAAATAAGACCTTTAAAAAAATAAAATAACATGGTGTTTACAAAAGCATTATCATAAAGAAGGGGAGTGGCGAAAAGGAAAGGGAATTAAACAATCCCCCAAACTCTTGAGAAAGACCTGATGTGATCAATTAACAGCCTTCCTCATCCTCATGTCCATGGTCCTCGCTTGTTATTTGCTAGACAAATCATTTTAGTTGTCCCTTTTGCGCTAGGCAATGTTAGTAAGAAACTCCCAGGGCATCAACGACAGAGTTTCATTAGTTGGCACAGTGGGATCCAACGAGGTGCAACTAACCTGGGCTGCGAGGTTCCATAAGGCTTCCCAGAGGAGGCGCTGCCTCCCACGTGGAGCTTGAGAGCAAAGAGAACATTCCGGGTTTGGGGTTGCTCTGGCGCTGACCGCAAAGCTCTCTGCGATGCCAGGCGCACGCCCCTTGCAGAAAAGGGAAACGGGCAAAATGTGTTGTTGATCTTTGGGAGAAAACTGAGCCTCGCTTACCATGTGTGGAGAGGAGAGAGTGGAAGGGATGAAGGGAGGAAAAGAAGCAAATCCCCTCTTCAAAAAAGGCGTGCACTGCAGCCCCTGTTGCCGGATCCCGGGAAGGAGCATTCCCAAATGCCGAGTCCGCTGAAGAGGGAGCGGCCAGGGGCCAGGATGGCCGAGAGGAGACCTTGCGGCGCATTGGCGGCCGGACGAACAGGCCCCGGGTTGGCGACACTCGCAGTCCTCACGACCCACCCTCCTTTTAAGACTCGCCAGGGCTATGGCCTAACTAGAACGTAGTAAACTTGTTCCTCGTTTCCCAGAGATCCCAGGCTGGGGCTGCCAGGCCGCCCAGGTTCACCCGGCGGGGACTTGTTTCTCGTCGCGAGCTTCCCTAAGCGCCTGCAAGTGGGGCGCCGCCGGAGAGGGCGGGGAGGAGAGTCCCCACCGCGCCCCTCGCTGCCCCCACCCCCGCAGCGGGTACATTTTACGGATGGGTTTTCTCCCTAATTCATTTAAATTCTCTTCTTCCCTCCCTTCAGACAGGGGGAGCTGGAGTCCCGCAGGCCGAGCCCTCGTGGCTTGCGCAAAGGTGGATCCAGAGTAGGAGGGGTGTGGGGAAGCCCACGGGACCGTCTGCAGACACCGGAGCGCCGTGGATGGGCCGCTGACCTGCAGGGTAAGGGGAGGTGCGGGCCTGGAGTTCCCGCCTTCTTTCTTCCCCTCCCAAATCACTCGGCAAAAAAGGAAATCTAGCCGTCGGTCTCCGCAGAACAGCCCAGAGCTGGGCTAGCAGTGCTCCCGCCAGTCGGGGCGGAGCGGGCTTCAGGTCCTGGGAAACGCCCCAGGGTCTAGGTCTTCGGTCTTCCCAGAGCTGATCCCGCTCCGCCCAGCGCTTCTCTGTGTTTGTCTTTTTTCTTTTCTCTACTCTTCCCAACCTTCCTTGCCCCATGGTTCGCTTTTTCCTTTCCTCAAGTGAACATCCTTCCTATGTAGAGAACACTTTTTCGTCCTTTGAGTATTTCCATAGCTTACACTTGGGCTGCTGAGTTACCTTGGGGAAGTCACAGAAACTTCTGGGGCTATGTGAAAGGAGGGGAGGGTGTTCTGGAGGACTGTTTTTTTCTGAAAATACCTCTGAAATTCAGCCCTGTGGGGGGGGGGGGAGCGGAACTCAGGCAAGGGAATGAAGGTGTCCCCTCTTCCTCCCCACCTAGCCACTGATGGGAAGAAGCTGTGTGCATAAACACAACGTCATCTGGAAAAGAAGGGCTTGGGTACGGGTTTTATATTAAAATAGCGAAGGGGATTAATGTAATTCTTATTTTGAGAAATTCGGATGTAAGACACCCCCTCGGGAAATAAAAAAATAAGATGACAATGCTTTCTTACCACTTCATGGCTGATTTTGCAACATTTCTTTTCAAATCTTGTTCTGTGCACCCACCATCCTTGGCTGGCCTTGCTCCTGGGGAGCAAAGAATGGCCTGTACATTCCTAAGAGGCTAAGGGGACGGGGTGGTGATGGTTAAGAGAGAAGTTGGCTCTGGGTGTAACTCTGCCAACTGTTGGAAGTAAAGGGAGGGTGGTCTTTTACGTGAGTTTAGGATCTGGTTACCTTTAATTCACTCTGGAGCCCATGTCTTGCACTAATGGACATCTGTCAGCGAAGGGCTCCTGTTTCCCCACTTGCCTCAGATGGTGGAAGCAAAGGGGCAAACAGCAAAGTGGACCAGTCAGCCAAAAAGAAACACGCCAGGCCTCTGCAGCTGGCCTGAGGGCTTCTCCTCAGGCCCAAGGCATGGTGGAAGGACTCAAAACCAGGAGGAGACTCCACCTTTTAAAAGCCCATTCTGATTAGCCTCTTTTGCTCCATCCTTCCAGGTAGCAGGGGACTGGAATAGGTTCTGCAACCCCTCTTAGAAAAACCCACTTTTCACACTTAAAATTGAGTTTTTCAAAACCAAACCAAATACTGTTGGTGTTTGGAAGAAAGTTGTGTCTCTGTCCAGAAGCCATTAAAAATACCAAGTAAACTCCTTACATTCCCTTAGCTCCTTACAGTTTATAAAACATTTTTCACTGACACCAACTCATGTAATCCTGCAAGCCCAAGCATCAGGTGGACTCCTCATTCTCAATGTAGAGATAAAGAAATGGAGAGACTCAAAGAAACCAAGCAGCTTGTCCAAGGTGACAGTCACAAAATGTCTTATCCCTGATTGAAACCCCTTCTGCAAGGCCTCTCTCATTCCATTGCTTCCTATCATCCCCTCCCATGAAATAGGCACCCCACCCCCTCATGACTGGGCCTGGACACCCAGAGAATCTTCTTCCAACAACCCCCACCCCCGGCCCAGAGAGAACATTTACTAATTCATGCTGCAGTTTGCCACCATTCATGCTGCAGTTTGCCACTAGTAGGGTCCAATGGACTCATGGCTTTGGAACTGGGTTTCAGACCACATTCTCTCCAGACAGTTCTTCAAGGAACCCACGTTAAAACGCACGCCCCACCCATTAACCTTTCATGTTCCCCTCACTGCCAAGACTCTTCCTATAAACCATGTAAAATAAATAACCTCAAATATAACTCTTAATTGCAACCAAGTCGATGTTTCCTCGTCACTAAACTTTATTGCTTCCCAATCTTTAAGACAAACTTCCCTCGGGACTCTGGCCCTCTCAGGAGACAGGCCGAGGAAGTAGTTTCTCCAAGATTCTACCTGGATGTCCCAGGCCCGGAGGATGAACAAGGGTGTCAGGGTGTTCAGAGGCTTCGAGACAAGGAGAGGTCTCTCAGAGCTGGGGCTGGACGCTAGGAGACAAAACCCGTTAAGTTTTCCATCTGCTCGTCGCCCCCTACAGGCCACATCCGCCATCGCAGCAAGAGCCCATCATAGTCCGTGCAAGCATCTTGCTCTAGTCTAGGTTCGTATTTCCCTGGACCTCCGGATTCACCCATTCCCGGAGGAACTGCGTGCGCGGGCCCCACTCAGGGACTCAGTCCTGGGGAAGTTCTAAGGACTACAGACCTCGGAACTGGATTGACTTTCTAGAAATGAGCGCTGGAGGAGGTGGAAACCAGTTTAAATTTGTGTGTAGCCGAAAGCTAAAATTCTCCCCCATAAAAATCAACCCGCTTCCTTTTTTTATTACAAATAAATCTGCCTAAGTGGAATAAAAAGCGGATATCAATCGTGTTGCCTTTAAATCTCAATGTAAAAGGGGATTTCAGTGTCTTTCGTCGCTGGTGCCCGCGTTCATATCAAATGTGAGTTTCAAACCGCCCCCCCCAACCAAATGTTTGAGTTCATTATATATATTTGCATTTTCCCTTCTGCTCTAAACCTTCGTGGTTTAACAAGCATAAACCAAAAAGAGCTTTTCAGAGGGGTACAGCCAGGTCTATCTCCAAGACGTCTGCCAGCACTTTAAACAGCCGCTGTCCGGTTTGGAGTCTGGATCTGGGAGTCTCCTATTCTCCAAGAAATAAAGGAAAGGGACCATCTCCAGGCTCTAGTTCAAGGTTGAGAAGTGACTAGAAGGAAAGTTGCCGGCGGATCCCTCCTCCTCTACTCCCTGCTGCCTAATGCATCGCTGGAAAAAGCCCTGCGGATTTCAAGCGGCGGCTTGTGGCCGAGTGTCAAGCTGCGGGCTCAGGCTCGGCCGGTATTGCTGCTATGCGTGGAAATATGAGCGAGTAATTTTATAAGTAACAAAGGATCAGGGATGGAATGAGGCCTCTGTTATCCAATGTCATTTAGAAGCCTTGGATCAGCAGCTTCTTGAGGCTAAAAGTGAATTCAAGAAGCCCTGCCTTTCCCTTTTCCCAGGGGTGTCAGCTAAAATTAGAAATAACCTCTGTGTTTGCACAAATCATGTACCATTTGCTGTTTGTGTAAAAAACCGATTAGCCAGACACAACTGTGAAACAACTTGTTACTTTTATAGCTGCAACACACAAACAAATTTAGATCCGTTTAGTTTTCCTTGTAAAAGGAGATTAGAAGGGACCCGCCCGGAGACTGTGTGGTCCATAATCTCTTCTCCGTGAAGGTTACTGTTGCGCCTCTCCGCCGCGGTTGATTATCAGGTTCTTGTTTATCAAGTTAAACTATCTCACCCCCGGCAGCTTGTTTTATTTTAGGACCCTGATCCAGGAGGAATGTTTACTCAGGACACAATAATGTTTACTGTTTACCAGGAAAACAGATTCGGTATTTTCGAAGACGTGTCTTTCAAAGCGACTCCCTAGCCCACGCCGACAGCAGAGAAATAAGGGTCGAATCCGAAGCCGGAAGGCATCTCCACGACCAAGAGCCGAGGTGGACGCCACCGACAGGGACTGGCCCTGTTGTGCAAGCAGGACGCGCATAGGGCCGAACTGACAGCACGGCTACCGGTTACAGATTTAAAAAGCGATTTCGCAAAAGTAATTGTACAGCTAAATTAATTATAAAATAATTAGAATTGATGCCATTTGAGGATATGTTGGTGTATGGGAAACGGCCTTCCGCGTCTAGATGTTTTATTTCTACCTTAATGTTTTTAAGGTTGCAACAGCTGAAATGCACATTAAAAATAATCTGCGAGGACATCTCCCCATTCCTGCCCTATGATCTCTCATTTCCCACTAACCTAGACTATGGTTTGTTTTTTAAAGTTTTAAAAAGAGGGGAATAAAGGGGAGGGGTGATGTGCACCTGTTTTTAAAAGGGTGTTAAGGCCACTATTCCTTGGCCTTCCAAAACACTGCGGGTTGAGGGGAGGAGGCATTCATAGGAATCCTTCAGAAATCAAAATTATGTTGTGGATTTATTATTGCCATAGAAAAGAGATATCTTATTTGAAAATATTATGAAAGATAAGAACTATGTCTTATTGATCAGGTTAATATAGATAATACAGTTCCACTGCAAAATTAAACTGCCATAACATACATTAAAAAAAAATTAACTGTGTTTATTTACCACTGCCACTTAAGGAATGAAAAGAAATAATTTCAAAAACTTAAGATTTAAATTCTAAAATGGGGGATGTCTGTAATTTACATTCTTTTGAAAGCATAATTGAAATGACCAAGAACTCATATGGAAGACAAAAGTCTGATATTAAAAAAAATTAAAAGATTGTGCTGTTGTTTAGATTTAGGTTGGTTTTTTTAAATGGCAGCTTATTTTATCTATAGAAATATCTGGTCAGACTTAATGGATTGGTATGAACGAGATCATCACCAATATCCCAAATTTATGTGAAAACTAAAAGAAAAATATTAATACTATTTAAATTAGGCATATCCTTTCCTTTCTCCAATTAAATTTTTCTTACATTCAAATTATGTATAGCTAAGTTTGAAAGGGTCATACTTGAAACTTCTCGAATTTCTGGTAAAGATAAAATACAAATACAATTTTAAAATACTGTCGTTTACCTCAGACATCTAAATAAAACACTAGGGTGAACATTTTAAAAATTTATTTACAAAGTTGTGTACAACACGATGGAATAACATTTAGAATACCATATATATTCATTCATATATAAACAGACTTTTATAATAGAATGACACTTTTCGCCTTTCGAAAATTTTTTATATTTAAAATCTCCCAACGTCTCTATACATTTTTTTTCTCACATAAAACTGCGGAGAGTGAACCTTCAAAAAAAATGAAAGTTCAGAGCTCTAAATCTACTGAATTTGTTTTTTCTTAAAAAAATAAGAACCCCAAAAGGAAAGTCAATAATTTTTATACAAATATGTACAAAGAATTTCCCTCCCATCCCCACGGTACTGAGAGCAGGAGCCGTCGGGGTACATTTTTGGAAAATTCGGTTTTCAGTTTTACCTGTACGGAAAGCTATTCCCGGCGGGCGTGCGGTGAGAGTTTGCTCCGCCAGCCTAGGTGTGCGCGAGGGGGTGGAGGCCGCCGAAGGTCGGTGTTGAGGGGTCGGGGGGAGGAAATGGAGGAGAGGCAGAGTCCGGGATTGGGCAGGGGGGCCGGGCCCGGGGCGGGGCGCGTAAACTAGAAGTGCAGCCGCCGCCCCAGGCCGCCACCCGGCCCTCGGTCCCGGCCCTCGGCGCGTCCCTATTGAGCGGGCCACTTTGCTTGCGCTGCAGCTGCGGCAGCAGCGGCGGCCGAGGCTGCGGGCTGCAGGAACTGTCCAGAGAGCGGCACGCTCAGGATGGGCGCGATGGTGGCCGTCGTCCGGCTCAGCGACAGCGGCTGGTGCGTGGCCATGAGCGCCGCGGACTGCACGGTCCCGGGCGGCCGTAGAAAGGACTGCGCCGCGCTGCCGCCCCCACCGCCCCCGGTGCCCCCAGTTACCCCGGCGCCCCCAGCGCCCGCTGTCGAGCCCCCGGGCGCCGCGGGGCCCCCGCCGATGATGTTTTCGATGCTGAACGACGGCCGCGCGCTCGGCTCGGACTTGATCAGCGACGCCGTGGTTCCCGCGGCGCCCGCCGTGCCCGCGGCGGCCGCGGCGGCGCCCAGGCTGTTGAGCTGCAGCTGCAGGCCCGGGCCGAGCTGTGAGCCGAAGGCGGCCGCTTTGCGGCCCAGCTCGCCCGAGGGCAGCAGCGGCACGGCAGGCGGCAGCACGGGTGCCACGGGCGGCAACGCGTAGGGGTACTGGAGCGCCGCCGCCGCCGCCGCGGCTGCCGCGGCAGCCGGGTGAGAGTAGGCGCCGGCCGCGGCCGCGGGGTGCAGGCCGTAGGGGCGGCCGTAGGGCCCCGCGGCGCCAGCCGCCGCGGCCAGGCTGTAAGCGCCGAAGCTCTGCATCATGAGCGCCGTCTGCTCGCGCAGGTGCTCCTGCTGGTGGCGCTTGAAGCGTTTCCGGCGCCGCAGGAAGCTGCCGTTGTCGAACATGTCCTCGGACTGCGGGTCCAGGGTCCAGTAGTTGCCCTTGCCCGGGTTGCCCGGCTCGCGGGGGATCTTGACAAAGCAGTCGTTGAGCGAGAGGTTGTGGCGGATACTGTTCTGCCAGGCGGGGAACTTCTCCCGGTAGTAGGGGAAGCGGTTGCTAATGAACTCGCAGATGCCGCTCAGGGTCAGCTTCTTCTGCGGACTCTGCAGGATGGCCATGGTGATGAGCGCGATGTACGAGTAGGGCGGCTTCACCAGGCTGTTCTTGGGCTTACTGGGGGCCAGGCCTCCCGCTGCACCGCTGCCCGAGCCGGGCCCGCCGCCGCTCCCGCCGCCCTCCTCGCCGCCGACGCCGCCCTTGCAGCCGTCAGCTTCGGAAGCGCCCGCCTCGCCCCCTGGCCCAGCGCCGGCTCCAGTCGCCTCTTTGGGCAATGCCAGGGGCTGTGGGTGCGGCGGCTGAGGCTGCCCATGGTGGGGTGCCGCCGGCGTCACCTCGTCCGCCTCGTCCAGGCGCAGCTCCGGCGGCCCCATGGGGCTATCGCAGCCCGCGTCGCTGTCCTTCTCCTCCAGCCCGTCGTCGCCCTCGCCCACCACATCGATGTCCACGTCCTCGGCCGTCAGCACCGTCTGGCCGGACATGTCGCTGGCGCTGCCGCCGCCGGAGAGGGTCATCCCTCCTCGGGGTTGGTGGCGGCGGCGGGGAAGGAGCGGCGGGCGATGGGAGTCGTCAGGGTCTGCCGCCGAGCTCCGGGGAAGGGGGCTTGGGTGCTCCCGAAAGATGGGAGACTGGGAGAGGGGAGGGGGACGTAGATGGTTCGGGGCCCTCCCGGCTTGGCTCACACTCGGCAGCCCGGCATCGCGCGGCGCGGGCGCTGCCGTCCGCCCCCCGCGGCCGCGCTCCTCAAACTCCTGCTGTCCCTGGCGCTCGGTACTAGGCGCTCGATGCCGCTCCGGCCACCGCGGTTTCTCCACGCCGCGCCCCCTCACTTCGCCCGCCTTCCTCGGCCTCTGGCCCGGGCGTGGAGAGCAAGAGCGGTGCAGACGGGCGCGGGACGCCGGGCGCGGAGCAGCTCCGGAGGGCGCGTGCAGGGGCAACGGGGGGGGGGGTGTCAGGGACGCCGAGCCCCCGTAGTCGAAAGTCCCGTTTTAAGGACTGGCCTGATAGATTACTTTCTACTTAAAGATCCAGCGGGAGGCGGGGCCACGTGACCGCGCGTGACGTCAGGGCCGCCGCGGAGCCGGCCAAACTCAAGTTGGTTCAGGGAATTGTCAACAAAGGGACGAGGGACACGCAACTCAGCGCCGCACGGTGCGCCAGCATCCCGCGGGCTCCGAGGGCGTCCTGGCCCGCCCTGGGACCTCAGCCTAGGCTAGAGCCCCGCTCGGAGGGCGAGGGAGCCTATGGGTGTGAGTGTTGGAGGGCGGGTGTGAGCGAGCGAGGGCGTGGGCCTGGGAGCGTCCGCGGGACCCGGCAGCTCTCGCTGCCCTGCCCTCCCTGCTCCCTCTCCCTTCCCCCTTCCCCCCTTTGCCAACACTCTAGGCTGGGACTGGGCAACGTAGAACGAGATTCCCATTCCTTTTTTTTTTTTTTTTTTTTTTACAGAAAAATGTAGTAGTCTGTTTTGTTTTTTGGATTTGATTCTTTTTAGCTCTCGAGTAAGAGCTGCGCACCCGACTCCGTTTTGCTAATTAGACTTCAGACCCCCTCCTGCCTCAGTGCTCTTTAGGCGGAGACACCGACTGAGGGGAGAAGTATCCTTTACCCCCTAAGCCAAACCACCCGGGTCCTGCCTTGGCTTTCCCCGCTCGATGTGGGCGTGTTATATATATATTCCCCCCACACACACCCCGCGCGGCCACAACAGCATCAGCTGGGGTTCCCGAAGGTCAGAAAATAGTTATTGATTAATCTATTAGAATAGTTGCCGAGAGAAATAAAAACGACGTAAAATAACAGGGAACCTATAAATAAAGAGGCCGTAACTAGCTGCTGGGAGTTGTTAAACGACTTAGCATGTGAAAAAGTCGGAAATGAGGCGCTGGGGAAGGAGCCGGGAGTCAGCGGCCTGGGTAAGTCGAGTGGCGCGGAGAGGAGGCTTCCCGGCCTCTCTTAGACGCCGCGCTCGGGCTGGGACGGCAGAACAACGCCGGGAGCTAGCGAGGTGGCTTCCCGGGCCGCGGGGCCCAGCCTCTTGGGAGCGAGGGGCGGCCTCGGGTGTGCGGGTGGGCTAGGCTCTCCGTCCCTGCTAACTAACGTGGATTCTTTCCTCTTAAGGCTTAGGTAAATCCTCCAAGATTTAACTTCCGCGGAAACCAGTAGCAGAGCGGGTGGAGGAGGCGAGGATGCGGCTAGTACATACCGAGTTTCCTTGGCGAGGAAAATCACTGGTGGTAGTTAAGGCTATGGGGATTTAACTGGGATTGGGGGTGGGGGGATCGCAAACCAACCGCGGGTGCGTGGTATTGCCCGTGCGCTTGGACCTCGCACCTCGGAATAGTGCTCCTGACCCGGTGAGTCCGCGATGCGCCACCTCTCTCAAGTTTTAGGCCGCCTGAAGGCGAGCTGCAAGCGCCTGCCGGGTGTGGCGGGCTCCTTGAACCCAAGCCCTGTCTGTCTGCTGAGTCCTGGGAGGAGAATGCCGGCCTCACCAGAGGAAGGAGAACAAGGGGAGACGTCCGAGAGGAAATAGTTGGTGAAA